TTCTGTTGGTTTTACTTCAAAAATACTCCTCTAAAATCACCACTGTAACCTAAAATATTACTTTATTTAATAAAGTGCCATAATGCCATTTGAAGATTTAGGGCTTGTTTTGGTTGTTTTTCTCAATCAGACTGTCCATGCATGGCACAGTTACCAGACCAGTGCTCTCAGTAACTGCACAAGTTGGACCCCTTCCCTCTTACTCCTTAACGCTTCAGCTTCCAGATTCCCAACTTCTGTATTTGCCTACACTCTCCAAGAAGTTTGTTCTGGTTTTGATAGACTATCATGTGACTTTGTTCTGAAGAATTTAGAAGTACTTAGTTCTTAAATGTATTTATATAAAGCCCTTTGCGTAGGAAAGCAGGTTTAGGGCAGGGAGCGCTGGCCCTGGGGTCTCTGGCCCGTCTTGCTGGCAGAGGCGCAGGCTGCCGACCGGCACAGCCGCAGGAGCCAGGGCAACCCACTGCGCTGAATCCTCTTTCTGGTAGCACGTACCACTCTTACCCCTTGGATTTTGACCCTGATGATATTGTTTGAATAACTTCTTTTTAGGCAACAAAATTCTGTTTTCTCAGCTATACCCTTAGAGTAGTGGGATTCTGTGAGATTTAGGATGCCTAAGTGCAGACAGTAGCTCAGCGATACCAAGGAAGTTACTACTACCTGAAGGTGCTATTGTCTGCATACAAACTAGGTAAAACAGAAGCCTTCAAACTACCTTTCATAGTTGGGCGTATGTTGCTTGGAAACTGCACAGAAGTGATTGACTAGATGGCACACACTCCAGCTCAGAGATGCTCGAACTTTTCAGCAATTAGATTGCTTTAATATGTTATCTTAATGGATAAAAGTTGACATCGTAACATGGATTTAGATACTTGGGGATGAATAAAAATCTTACAGAAAAGATTACATTATTTTATAAATTATTCCTTCCTTGCACTGTCAAAAAATTTTGAAAAGAAAAAACAAACAATCTAGCATTGAAGGAAGACAATATGAAAGATTTCTACCTGCTGTCGGGTTAGTCATTGATTTTTCTGACTGAGAATGGTCTTTTCAGAGTTACTGATTACCAGGCAACCACAAATTAGTTTGGTTCAAGATCCACTACAGTGAAGAGGAAAAAAAAAACAACCGAGCCTTAATCAGTCCCCTACTTATTGTAAGAATGAACAACAGTCTTGTTTGGAAATAGGCCACAAAGGGAGGGAAACACAAACAGGAACCATTAATGCGTATTTCACCTAAACCACATAAATGTCATTGTTGTAAGAAAAATATTTCTTCATGCTCCTGGTGTAACAATCTGATGTATACAGACAGCAAGGTGGATTTGGTTTTGAGTTTTCTTAACATGGGAACTTTAAGATCAGAACTGATATTGTTGTGTCACATTGCCAGGCAGGATAAAAAAGCAATCTGAACCAGGTTTATTTTCAGATTTCACTGTCACCAAATCTGGTACAGTAAGTGAACTTTAAACCTGGGAAAATGCAACAGAGAGCACAGATTACTTTCTCTAATAGCTATGCAGAAGCATTCAATTGCTTAATGATCTTTCAGCCCAAGAGTCAAACATTGCTTCATACATAACCAAAAGTAGTTTTATAAACCTCTACAAGAGCATTTTTTTTTTTTTTAAACAAGCAACACTCACCAAATCTGCACCCATGGTTCCTCAGACTTCCTCCACCACCACACAAATGGTTTCTTTACAAGGCAGCTCTTGCATACAGCCAAGTGGTTTCTTCCTCAGGTGTTTTGTACTATGGGAAATTAGGACTTCATTATACAGAAATATTTTTCAAAATTTTTAAAGATCAGCCTAGCATCCAAACATGAGATTGTTGAATAACTTGCACTGAAACTAGTTTCAAATATGGATGTATGAGGGCTAGGGGGACATACCTACTTCAGCCTGCTCAATTAATGAGGTTTGTAGTTTGGGTTTTTTTTAAAAAAAAGCAGCTGTAGCAGCAGGAAATACTCTTTCTAAAGCACTATCAATCTCCATCCCCAACAGGCTTCGCTATAGCAAGTTGGACAGGATTTGATAAACGCCATATTCACCACCAAATCTCTGAGTCACAAAAAACAAAGGGTGGAATCAGAGTTTAAAAAGGATTAGGAAACTCAATTCAGCAAGTTTAAAATATTGAGAGATTACAGGTATCTTCTGAAGGACAGGAGAGAGCGGAACCCATTTGTAGCAGTCTTACTGCCAATAAACACCTTTGCAGCTATTTAAACGTGCTGCAGAACATCGAAACCTTCAGCATACTTTGATGGTGAGCAGATTCACCTGTTCGTTATCTGACAAGAAGCAATGTCTGAGCAAACTGACTCACCATACCTCATTGTTCATGCATCACAGAAGGCAGAAAGATGTCCTTCCTCCAAATAGCTTTTATGCAGACGATCTCCAAGATTTCTTTGCCTTCCCTTACTTATACATGTACATAACTGATTTTCAGGATCCTATGAGGTTTTACCCATTAATTTACAGCAAACTAAAGTTTCACATCCTTTTTTGTCCCAGTTTCACACATACCCAAGTTCTCCACTGGTTGTAGTGTTAGAGGAAGGAGCAAATGGGACCACACAATTTTTAAGCTAGCTACTACCAACAGAGAGAACTATTGAACTGCACGGCCAGGGTGTCTAACAAAGGCACCACACTTCCCTTACAAGTATTTGGACTCCACAAATCAGTAAAATATTCATGGTAGGAAATTACTGAATACACTAAACATTAACATCAAAGCTGTTCTAAATTTGAAAGTAATCTGAAATGTAGATTAATTTGATCTAGCACTACCACGCTAAAATGCACAATTAACAGCCACTTTCTGGCTCTTTTATTCCTATTTCAAGTAGACACTCGACACAAAATTTGGGCTTGTGAAGACGCAAGAAGGTCACTTGAATTTTAATTTCTGTGTTACTCAGGACATTATTTGTAAGTAACTTGCAAAGGATTCTTGGTGCTGGTTAATTTCTCTAGGATCATCTCAACCATCCTAACAATCAACCTTTGAAGGTTACTCAATTAGGCTCAGAGCAAATTATTATGGGGAAGAGCCCAGTAACTTTGGCACAGGAAAATCTACAACTGTGATGTAATTGAGCACCACGAGAACAGCAAAGCTGGTTTCAACTTACAGCTGAAACCATGAAATACATGTCTCAGAACCACTGGTAAATGACTCACGGAAATACAGTCAAGCCACATTTACTTTTAGCTCACTGCACCTGAAAAACATTTTAGAAGAAAACTTGCAGGGACACTACAAATTAGCTGGAAAATCAAGTGCTCAAATTCTGCACTTTCAAGACAGTTTCAAGACACAGTAAACTTGATTCTTAGAAATTCTGCATCATGAAGCAAAAGAATTGAGTTCTAAGCATCAACAGAATAAATAATCATTACTTTTTGCACTTTGACAGTAACTGGAATAATTAAATGTGGTTTTTGTTACAGCCCCTAAATAGGTGAATATACTCCCCTCTTGGCTAATTGCATACTTTGTAATCTCATACAGCTTTCACTGTTCAGGAAATAAAGTTGGAATCACACCTACAGTTTTAACATCTATCATGAGTTTTAACACTCATCAGTATGTCGAATGGCTGGCTGCTTTTATTTATATTTCCAAGATGAGACTATTTTCTAATCCGTTGCTCACGTTAGATTTTGCGTGCATTAATGACGACTCCAGATATAAAATGGAAAAGGTCCATTTTGCAAGTACATTAAAAAAGTTGCCACCAGACATTGGACTACTAACTATTTTCTAAAGATTAAGTTCTAGGAAAACAAGTTTGTAATAAACATTTAAAAACCCGAGCTGTAAATTCTGAGGAAGCTGCACAGAACACGGAGGTCAGCGAACAGAATCACATCATGTCTCACAAAGAGGAAGAGTTACTTACATTTCAGCTTCTTTTCTGCCACAAGATAGGAGACTGACAATTAAAAAAAAAAAACAACACAGCTTTTAAACTCTAAACACCTTTTGAACTATTCTTTTAAAAATATAAAAAACCCTTAACAAATCAATCTAATGGCAAACAGGAAGATATATAAACATTTCAGCTTACGTATTTCAGATGGTCTTTGGTAGACTACCAATGGCAGGAATACAAGAACTTACAGTATGGATATGTCTCCCTGCTGATTTATGCAAGGAGGAAAGATAATCAAAGTTAAGAAGATACTTTAGTAATACCAGCCATGCTTCAGGAACTATACTCAACACGGTTTCTAGCTGAACATAACTCATGTTAACTTTTGCATATTTCTACAACGCCCTCCTCGGCGTGGCAGCTTGGAACAGCTGCTATCCTGCAGCTGGAACACTACCCCTCACCCAAGGTCAGAAGGCAAAGTAAAGAGGTCCTTGCACAAGATTCCTACGTACAGTGCAGAGGAAAGTTAGAGAAAAATAATACATTAAGAACCCTTTACACATCTATATTCTTCCACTTATTCTCAGGCATACAGACTCTGCTTCAGCTCTCCCGGAAGGAAGTGTGGCATACCAGGCCCACTTCAACAAAATAAACTTCCCAATCCCATGCAGAGGGGGCCAGCACTCAGCTGGGGAAGCACCCAGACAGTACAGAAAACGTTACAAAGCGCCTTGAGTAGTCTGATCATTGCACGGTACTGTGAAGGAAAAAACAGGGTAAGTGTCAAGAATGGTGATAAACTGCAGTAGTTAGATTAAACATTTATTTTTCATATATTCACAAAATCTTCACAAAAGTATTGAAACTCAAAAAGGAATTAGACTTGAGTCAAATACAGAGATGAAATGTACAAGACAAATGAGCAGGCAAACTAAAAGGTCTTGAAAGTATTTTACTTCAGATTGAAAAACGAACAGTTCAACTGTTCTGTTTAAATAAAGATTTGCAAGATATACAGTATTTTATGAATACAATGCTGGTCATTTGAGGCAATGTAAAATACCTCAATTTTTCCTTCATGCTTTTTTTTTTTTTTTTTTCATACTGTTTACCAAAAAGAAACTTGAGCAGTCCAGGAAAAGCTATTTTCCATTAAATTTATGAAAACCATAAATTGAGGCAAACCTAAGATTCCCAATGGAATCAAGATTATCTTCCCGCTACCACCACCTTAAAATTATCACATGCTTATTGGAACACTAATATCTGCACCCTAAGAGTACATTTGCTTTCAACAATGAGGGTGATTCTTTTAAAAACACTTCAGTGTGGTAAATGCGATACAGATCTTTGCAAATATTAAGTTTTGGAACAGTTTTGCTAATAGCAGCTAACAATACTGGATTAATATAATTTATAAATAATTGTTCCCTAAGCGGTGAACATAAGTCTACACATTCACAATAATCTAAAACAAAATAAATACTGAGATTATGCATAATGTGGTGCAACTTTTACTAGTTTCTATGAACAAAAGCTCAATATCTTGTTGATAAAATTATCTGATCAAATTAAAATATGAATCTAAAAATTTTTTTTTAATTGTCAAATTAACATCACTTAAGCTTAGTGTTTGAGTAAATGTTATGACTTTCCATTATTTTGTTTTTTTTTTTTTTTCCTTTTTGAAGTAAAACACTTTAACACATTGAAAATGTTTATTAATTTAAGTGATGACATCAGTTCTGGTCTTATTTTAAAATTATTTAACTTTAAAAATCATTGCACTCATTAGTGCCCATTAAAGGTCAGGTTGGTCTGTAGTATTCTGTAAATGTATACCAAAAAAAAATATCTAAAAGCTAATAGTACTTTTTATAAAAGCATCATCTCCAGAACAGCTGCATTAAATACAGCCATGTATGCCGAGTACAGACTTTCCTCTTTAAAGAAACATGTGAAAGTAAATGCCACTTAACTTTCTACCACTGAAGTGTCCCAACTCCTGTTCCAAGCTATGCCTGTGGGTGTAATTACACATTTAATTCGCATTCATGGCATCAAAGTTACTACAACCTAGACCTGTAATGTGAGTGAACCAGACAAATGTGGAGTTTAAATTAAATGATGACTAGGTCAATGAAGAAATACTATGAGATATGAAAGGTTTGGGTCTTTAAGGCAATACAAAATATATTTCATTATCTGAAGTTGTTTTGGTTTTTTTAAATAATTAAGTGTAAATATAAAAATGCCTAAGAGGGGAGTGAGAAAAAATATTTTAATCGTAAAATTTACTTAAAGCTTCAACAGTTATCATCTCCTACAGGAGTTAGCAAAAATATAAAAGACAAAAAAACCCAGACCTGGAAGGGGGAGGGAAGGCACAAACAAAGAGGCATTGGATTAAAGCAGCCCAGGAATGCAAACGTCTGTAACAAGTGTTTGTTTTTTTAAAACCAAAAAAAAAAAGAAAACAATCACCACCACCAACCAAACAACCTCCCCCCAAGTGGCTTTGTATTTCTTTTAAAAAAAGAAAGGGTTGGGGAAAGACCACTAAGGGGAAGAAGAGAAGGATGCAACTATAAAACCCCATTGCCTGAAATGATGGCACTCTGGAAAACAAGGTGAAGGTTACTTCTCCGAGATGACGAGCTCAGTGTCTACACAAAGTACATGTACACTTTATACAAATGAAAAACTTCATTTGCCACCATAAACCTTTCTTTCAGAGGAACAGCTTTTGCAGATCAAATGTACTATTAAATCTTTTAAATGCCAAGAAAAGAAATTCTGAACAATGTAACTAGTAATGTCTCTTTATATGGATGTTAAGATGACAATTCAGATTATTTTCCAAACTAATCCTGAGAAAAATTTATGTTTACAATTTAAACAGTAATGTTATGTAAAAAGTATTAACAAATCCACTATTACAAATATCAGTTTTCCTATATGGTCATCTATATATACACAATAAAATGGTAAGTATATGCAAAAATAATAAAAAAAATCATGCACAAATTACTTTCACCTTTAAAGGCTGGGTTTCCCTCAAAATACAATTTTTTGCTTTTTTTTTTTTTCCTATTTTTTTGTGTTTTACTTGTTTGTTACCACCCCCTAGACACACTGAGTACTACCTCTACAGGTCAGCATGAGCTGATGGGAAATACATTTATTTTACATTCAAGCTTTTATATCCTAAATGACCCTGTTGTAGCATATGACTTATCAAATGAGCAGCCTTTTTCCTCTTTTTTTTAAAAAAAATTTTTTCTTTTTAAATTTTTTTCTTTTTTTTTTTTCCTTTTTTTTTTTTTTGGTTTTTTTTGTTTTTGTTTTTGTTTTTTTTTTTTGCAGTGATCAATCTTCATGATCCGTTCCGTGGCGAGCTGGGAAAAAAAAAATGCAGTTGCTAATCAATGTCTGAACAGTCTGAAGCTCCGGAAGAGATCCAAGGAGTCACTATCAAACTATCCTGTAGCATGAGATCATTGCACACAGAAGAACAGTCATAAAATAGGCAACTATCTACACAGGTCTGAAAGGGCTGCATCCCTCTTATGTTTCCTCTTTTTGCCGTGGAAAAACTGATGGTGTGATTTGCTGCCTTGATGTTGTTTGTTTGTGACTGAGGTACCGTGGCTTGAGTTTGTTGGACCTTGGAAGCCTTTGTTAGAAGAGCGAAATAACCGTGCAGATCCATGCTGTAAAAGAAGGAGAACACGGTAAATCATTACTAAAAAGAAAAAAGTGTGGCAATTACACAACCCTATTTCTGGATAATGAAGACATTAACTCATGAAAGGGATACACTTGCAATAATTGATATGCCCAAAGATAGGCCATTGCTAGACACCAGCACCATACTGTGAACCTTTCACTTTGGTGGCTGCAAACAAGTGTTCATCTCTAGACCCAAAACCATGCAGGTCAAGAGAGAAAAGCAGAGCACTGTGAATTTTTGAAAATCGTTCCCATTTTGAGACCATCAAAAAAGTGTTTTACAGAAACATAAATCCATAATCCAAGATGAAGATCGCTCAAATCTCATCTTCTGTGCAAACTTAAGACAACATTCTTTTAATACCATCTAATTTTATACGACATCTTTTTACAGATGTAGAGTTATCTCAGATCATGCATATTCACATTCCAGCACTAGAATTAGCTCTGCATAGTAACACGAACATACATTTGTGGTATATCCCAAGGCCTAGTTTGTAAACTGTCTCATTACTAGCCGAAGAGAGATCATCAGCAAGTAGGAAGCAAGTCTTCAGAATTATTTTTCAGAAAAAATATTCTAGAAGATTCCAGACTATTTTTCATACATAAAAGAAGTCATAAATTCTGAAAAAGTATAAAAATTTGAACCGCATATTTCCAAAGTATATTGTTTATAGAGGCATATAATATTCCCGATTACAAGAGGGGATTTCACATATCAGCAAAGAATCTTCCTCTTCCTTAATGACAGTTCAGCAAGTATCAACAGCTAACAGAGCAGCCAGCCATAGTTTTAAACATAGATTTTTGCTGTTTTTCACTAAGTGTAGGCAAGTCTTACTACTTCCCAAATTCTGCAGTAAAGACTGGACTGACATACTTTCTGCAAATAGGAAACGGCTGCACCACAGCTATATGCTTCTGGCAAATCTAGATTTCCCAAAATGAAGTCAATCCAATTTCATCTGTTTTAAGGCTGGGAAAGACATTACTGCAAACGCACCTGTGTAAGTTTAACAGAGAACCCGGTGATTTTAGGTACGATCAGTGCTCAAATCTTTTTAGTGGGGTAAAAGGGAGGTGAAAAATGCAGTGGTTCCTTTCCAGGACAAGCTACCCTTCCATGGAGGACGTGTAATATTCAAACAATCCGTACAGTTGTTGTTTTCAAACATTTCACAAACCTGAGATTTGTTCGTGTTGCTGGATGTATTGGCTGTTTGGCTATTTTGTGTTTTCCCACTTGACTGGGAGGATTCCAGTGACACTTCTTGTGACCCCACTCTGCTTGTGGTGGACTGACGACAACTCAATTGTTTAGAGGTTTTGCAAGGTGTTCCATCAGAATCCTTCAGGAAAATGTAAAGTATTAGTGAGTTTTTCTACAATCCCTTAAAAATAAAGCTAGCAGTGGACAAAACATAAAGCGTGATTATTTTATTAGATATTCAAATTCTTTCAATCCAGAAATCTTACTGAATAAAACAGATTTAAAAATGCTTTGATGAATGATTCTGATTTGCCTTTTATTTTTTAAATAGAATTCCGAGGGGCTTTTTAAGACCTTTTGTTTGTTTTTTTTTTCCTTAAAAAAAAGCATATGGCTTAGGACCAGTCTTTTTTGCTAATAGTTTTCACAAAGAAAGAGGGCTATATAATTTTGTATCTACTGTATTCACTTTCTATATGTGTTGTGTCAAAAACACTGCAACTTACACATGTAGAAATTGCATAAGAGGTAACATCTTATGCAAGTTAGGATTCTGGATGAAATATCTAACTAGGATTACGAGCTTTCAAAACGTATTCTGTGGCAATACAAATCAGGAAAAAAAATAAATTTGAAAAAGCAAAATCAGAAAACCTCCAGTACTTACTACATCGCTAGAGCTGGACAGTGTAGACGATGATGATGATAAAGGACCTGATGAAGAATTTGAAGAATGTTTACTAAGTGTTTCTGAAGTTTTATTTCTAGGTTTCCCCAGTGCTTCATTCTCTTCAGCAAGATTATTGTTGCATTTGTCCAGCTGTTGAGTATCTACTATCAAGGTTACTCCATTACCTATTAAGAACAAGACAGAAGCACATGAACTGCTAAAATGTTGCTTTTTTTTTTTTTTTTTTTTTACATACCCACTCAGTTATTATGTATCTACTACATCCAGCAGAACATGTACAGACATCTGCACAGGTACATACTTTTAATACATGCAGACACATGCGTGCATTTGTCTGTGTGTATGTACAGCATGCAGCAAGCCAACACCTTGCAGAGGGTGTGGTGGTTTCCTGCCAAGATCCATTAATGTACACTATGAAAACCACCAAGCATTACCCACAGTTCAAGATGGAAATTAGAGAGATAAGATGTGAAAGAAGGTAGTAGCAAAGTTCAGGTGTGCTGCTTAGTAAGATTGTTTCATGACACACTTCAGCAGTACTCAAATACATAGGTTTAAATTTTGTTCCTGTATGGCCAATACTCAGCAACTCCCATTTAATTCTGTGGGAGCCGCCAGGGTCATAAGAACTCCAAGTAAGTCTGGTTGCTTTGTATGACATTCTACACTGAAATTACAAGATACAGAACTCTCATATCTCACTAACTTCTACCCTGTTAAAAAGCCAAAAGAATCAGAACTTAAATCTAAACTAAAACTACAAGATGACCACTGTAACTGTCACCATTATCTTCTTGATACAGGGTTATTTTTATTTTTTAATTATCATTTTATCTCACATAAGACACCCAGAAGTTACCTCTGATTTATGTAATATGCACTCGTTGCCCCACTAACTGTATTTGCACATAGAGTTTAATACATGCATCACAATAGGTAGCTAAGTATTACTCTGGAGCTTGCGGCACTAAACCATGGTTGTCTGCCATTACCAGTTGTATGGCAGTGCCACAAGGCTCTACAGACTGACAATGGCCCAGAAGCATATTCAGTTTACAAGGACAGTGAGGGAAATCATTAACAAAAGCTTTAAAAACAAATAAGCAAAACTCCAACCTAGCCTAAAGACTATGTAGTTGTGTCATCTTCTGATTAATGCCTACCAAGAGAAGACTTCTAGTAGGCAACAGATTAAAAATCAACTGGAGAGTATTAAAATTAATACTAATGTGAAAACTTCCAGCCAGCAGATACACCAACTGAAGTCAGAAGATGGGCAATGAAAATAAAGATTATTTTAAAGGACATTTTCAGCAAGTTCTCTGGCTAGATTTTGTGTGTTTGCATTTGTTAGTAACAAAAATTATGATTGATATTGCAGCATTTTTCTGATTAAAAGATTTATTCCACTTATATGGTCATCCTGGTTTAAATATTGTTTCCATACACATACAATATGTTCAACTTTAAAATGAAAAATAGAAGAACAAGAGGGTGAGGATTTAGATTTAACCTAGCATTCCCAGTAATTCTTTTTAAAAGCTTGTCCACATTGAAAGGACAGAGGAAGTGTGACAGAAACAACACATGTAATCTAAACTGGAAGTTTTTCAAAAGTCTCCCTTCGCAAGCCAGCACTCTTTACAGACCTCTGTGCTGACCAAATCTATCACAGTAGAATAATGACGTGGTATAGTCTTTTTACTCTTGTACGAATCTAAGTTTACTGGATGAGAACAGAAGAAAAAGACCACTACTGAGCAAGAAAGTAAATTCACATGAAGACGCACACATTGCCTAATGTGAGGCAAAAGCAACAACAACATCTGTATGATCAAAATATTCAGGAAGTTTCCCACTATCAGCCATGCTTCGTCAAAACTTACCATTACATGAAGACTCTGTCCTGCTTTGCATTCCCCACTGTTTTGATATCCAGTCTCTGTATGTGGCCACTTCTTGCGTTACTCTAATTATTCTACCTAATATACTGTAAACAGGAAAAAAAAAGAAATCATCACAATTAATTTTTAGACACACAAAAATGTAAGCAATTAATGTCTGAGATTTAGACTCATAAAATTTACCTTTCTGTTTCGTTGTTAGGATAATATTTAGCTATTGGGGAAACTGCATGGCTCAAAACAACATAGGCATAATCAAAAGCCTGTTTCACTTGCATGGCACCATAGGAACTCCTCCCAACATCATTACCTTAAAATAAGAATATAATTAAATAAATAATTAAGATTGAAACCATGGTTATCTCCTTTCAGAAAGGAGACAGTAATTTTTTTTTTTAAAATTGCCCTTAAGTCTCTCAACTCACTGCAGGTACCTGTTGTAGAATAGGATTAGTGAAGCATAAATATTTGAAAGAGCTTAAAATACCTCTATTTACATGCACAGAAGCCCAAAACAGCAATTCTCTGGGTAGAAGTGCAATACATGAAGGAAAAAAACCAACACCCTGTACTGTATATATTACACATAGAATAGTACTGTCCTGGATGACATTTTCCTAGATTAGAAATATGTTAACGCTCTTCTACCAACAGCACTTGACTCACCATTTCAGACGCCACCCATTCAAGTCAACAATCAACCTTAACGTTAAAGATAACAGTACGGAATGAAATCACTACATATTTCACAGAATCGAAAAGGAGAGAGTGCATAACAATGTATGTACATTATAAAGCACAACTGCAACTGAGGCAAGCACAAGCTTGCAAGGCACAATGCATACACAGAGGTCCCTCCAGCCCACTCTCAGGCCCACGCTGCTGTGGGTACGGCGGGGTGCCCTCTCACAGCTGCCTCTGGCCTGTAAGGCAGGCCTGCTCCTGGCTCACACTGTGCCTTCTGCCAGGAACACGCCTTAAAGAAAACCATGGTGTTCTGAGTCCATCTTGCATTCACAGACATGAATGTTTCCGTCTGGTTTTTGGTGGTCATTCTATGCTATTCTCAAACTCCTCTGGATTAAGCATTCCCCTAACTTTTTTCTTAGTCAATATATTAAAGCTTGGTTTATGAGGATACCTGGCTGTAACGGATCTTCGATATACAGCATTGATGGTCTGTAGCCATCCAGCATGCTTTTTTGCACTTCATCCTTGGCAACATAAGAGCCACCATCCTTTATTCGGATTCCAGTCTTCAGATAATTGAAGTGACGTCCATATAATTCAAAAAACTCTATTAAAAGAACACCGTAGTTGGCATTGGGCATACAGGCATCTTCCCTGGGATGCAGCTATTAAGAGAGAAAAAAAATAAATAATTCTTAGGACTTCATTTCAAGTGCCTTGCCTTTTCTTTTTCATAGCAAAGCCTGCCTAAATACAATAAAAAATAATAAAACATTATATATATATATATATATATATATATCAAGCATGTCTAAATACAGTATTTTCCCTTGATAAAGCAGTTTTGCATCTTTAAAACAAGATGCTATCAAAATTTTTTAAAAACTAATTACCTCTTAAAAATAAGGCTGTCAAGTATTAATATTTTTGTATTTGAACTTTCAGTTCTGTAAGTGAACTTCCAGCATGAATGGTAGGATTCTTGTAAAATAGCAGACATTTGCACTTCACAAACCTGGGTTTGCAATACAAATACAGGCTTCTGATGTGCACAGCTATATAAGCAATCCCCTCTAGTGTTAAGTATGCTGCCTGAGAGATTTAGAACAAAGCCAATGCATAATTGTAACAGATACAAAACATCACTGCTTTTTTTAGCAGAAGCAAATGGAAATGCTATTAGTCAATATAAGAAAAAATTGGGGTTGGGAGAGATTTTGGTTTCTTTCAAAAAGATATGCCTGTTGCCTTTATTTCTTTTGGGCTCAGCAGGCAACTGCAATAACACTCAGCAAACACCAAGCTTCAGTTCAAGGCTCATGTTTAACTACAAATTGGAAAGCTACAGACTTATACACACACAGTTATACAGTAACATTTAGCACAAGAACAAGACTGATAAAACCACAACTCGTCTATTTCATATTTCTATTTTTCTCCCCCAGGCACAACAATACAGATTTAGCTCATACATTTTGTTGTTAAACACATTTATTTGATACCAGATTAAAAACCTAGACAAACAAGCAAAATTTCATTGAATTCATTAAAACACATACAGGCTGTATGACCTGGAAAAGAAGTATTATAAAGGACAGCTGCATCTAAGCCTAACCTATGTAGCTTGTTCCAAATAAGTTACACAACAGTCATGTTATTTTCCCATGAATGACATGTGCCTGGTATTGACACACCAACTGATGTTCCAAACATCTCTAATACCAAAAGCACCAGTATAGGCAAAAAAATAGAAGACAGGTGGGATGTGTCTATTTTTAAATGAAAAGGGGGGTGCAAAACCACACACAAGATAGCTTAAGTGATTAAATTTAAGGATTGATTAAATTCCTTCTTAATGTAATGTCCTTTTGCACCAATGGCATCAACAGATTTCATTAAGCTTACCTGAAGGAAACTGACAGCCATTAAAAAAAGACTATAAGAACCGATTCCACCTGTAAATACTTCATTAAGGTCCCTCTGCAACAGGAACTGTTTCAATACTAAAACTAGATACGGTAACACAGGATATTTCTGAAAGAGAAAAACAAAAGTATTAGGATACTGTGATGCATATATACAACTGATGCTAAGGAAGCATACTGAAGCTATCTGTTATATTAAGACTCAAAGATAACTTATTATTTTTAGTAACAGGGGAGAAGCCAAGTCTCTGCCTGTGATCAATACAGTTATTTTACCTCTAACTCTGGTGGCAGATATTAACAAGAGAAAAAGGTCATTATCTCATAAAATTGCTTTTTTCATACAAGTGAAAAGGAAAGCAAAGGAAAAACTACGGAGATATCCACATCTGTAACAAAATCTTCCTGCTACAACTAACATGATATCCCGAAGAGGACCATGACGTCTGTCCTGCAAGTACTTCAGATGCCCAGAGTTCAAAACAGTTCTTCAAAATTACTATACCCAGACAACATTTTCAAAGGAGCCAAATACTTACCTTGGGGTAACTGGTCCTTCAATAGGTCTGTTCGCATGGATTCCCCTAAGAGGCGTGCATGCACGTGCAGAGAACATGGACCTTTTGGACAGCAGTGGAGGCTGGGGCTAGGCCTGCACTCTGTACACACCCTCACTGGGGCGGGGGCGAAAGAGGGTCAATAACATCATTCCTTTTATCAACACAGAGCTAAAAAGTTCTTTAGTGTCAGAGATGTGGATCATGGTATCTGTGATCAAAAAAGTTCAAAGGGAAAGAAGAATTTCTCCAAGGACTTCTCTGTACGAGTCTTACGATGAGTTCTGGGAGTCCTATTTAACTGAAGATCCCAAGATCACTTTTTTTAACTATTAATAACTTGCAGTCACAAGCTGAAGCATTGAGTATCAGTATATATCAAAATTCAAAGACAGGATTTTTCTCAGGAAATTGCAAACCCTTAATCAAGGCTTCAGCTGCCTTAAGACTATCTAAAACTGGATGAAGATAAATAGGCATTTCCAAGGGTAATACTGACCACAATACCTCAGTTAGGTATTCCAAGTTACACGGAACAAAGCAAGACCCAAGAGAATGCCCTGAAAGTGCTTTATAGAGATCCTCAAAACCACCAACAAAGTCACTTGGCAAGTCCACATCAAGTTTTCTCCAACTTAAACAAATGACACTCCACTTCAGCACAGCCATTACCAGCCATGTGTCAGGGCCAAGTGCCACCTTTCCTCTGTCACACTAGGCTCAGCTGCCCATGCTCTAGGCCAGCTCTGGTGTGGCACAGCTGCCAGGCCTTGGCTTGGACTGCTGGAAGAGAACAGCCCTATGGGAAAGCGCCTCACTGGAGTCCCTCCACTTCACTCAGAAGCTGCTTTTCATCTCGGCGGTTCCCCTTGGTGCCTGCCCAAGACATGCTGCCAGGTGCTGATGTTGGCCCTGACCCTGATCCCAACCACTGACCTGGAGTCCTCAGCCTCAGCCTCCTCACTGGGGACCTGTCTGCCAGCCGCTGGGTGGACTGTGATCTGACCCTGACTCCTGTCACCAGACTTGCTCTGCTCTTCAGGCTGGGGTACCCCAGGGCTACACCCCGGTGGACAAGGCCCCCGCCCCGTGCCTGCCCAGCTGCCACACGCAGTTCCCACTCTCTCCCCAGGTGCACAGCCCGCTCTTGCCATGCCCTGACCTGAGGCCAAAGCCGCCTCTCTAAAGGGTCACAAATAACACAGGCAACAGAAACATGCTAACACTTTTTTCTCTTAAGCACACAAAAATGTCTTCAGGCTCTCAAGAGAAGACCACTTCCTACCTTGAGATTAATCAGCACATAGTATGCAGGGTTTTACAGACTTACCTAAAAATAAATTCGTATATGGAGTGTAACAGAAATGCAGCCTGTGTTGTGGCAGAAAACCAAATATGGACTGCCTGTCCACCACAGGCAATGCGGCAATGCACAGGATGTAAAAACTGAAGTTAGCTACCAAATTCCAGGTAGACATCTTACAACAGAGAATGTGGGCATCTTTCCCCAGAGAGGAGCTACATAGCACAAAGCTACCAGTCTTGATTTAGCAGCAAAGGGTTGGCCAACGCAATGGATGCCTGTTCACCAGCTAGAGGCTGAGAGGAGAAAGGTCTCTGGATCCACCTCACCCTCTTACTCTGAAGGCAGGTGCAAGAGGCCTCACCAACACAAGCTTTAAGCCGTTATATAAGCACACCAGTGAGACTACACAGACAAGAACTCCAACTATTCCACTGAACTAAGGACAGAAACTTTTCTCCTGTGTCCTAGTACGGGTTAAAGAAATAAGACACTGTAAAAGCAAACAGCTACTTTCATACTTGCTACTAAACATACATAAAAGAACTGAAGATTAACAAGTTGAAGGCCACACATTCATCAGCAATTGAAACTCCTCCCAAATTTAGAAGACTTCTTGCAACTCAATGACATTATTAAAACAGATGTACATGATTTCTAACCCTTTTGACTGAAAGTGTTTGCTTTATTCAGATTTACAGGGTCTTCTGAAGGAATTTTATTTGTCTAGCTCTTGAAACAGTAGTAAAACTAATACTTAAGCAAGACTAAACTGCACTTCATCTCCCTGCACAGAACACAAAAATCCCCCCAAAATTTTCTACTGCTTTTATGAGACATTCACTATGAGTGCCCAATGCACTGAACAGTGGAAGGGAAGGAAAACAGTGTCATGATACTTCAAAACTTTAAAAACAAAAGTGCATTAATCCTAACAAAATGACCCCACATATTAAGCAAAAGTAACTGCAATGTATCTATGATACAGGTATTAGTGAATCCCTGAATAACAACTTACTAAGTTTATCTTATTCTACTTAATTAGCATTTGTATGCTGAAACAATATTCAATCTATAGAAGATTATTCCTGCTTTCTCAGAAATGTGTGGTTATTGCTGATTTTAAGTACAAGCAACCACAGCTGGAAGAGTAGAACATTTAAGACATGTATTAGTGCATTTTCCTTAGTCACTGTACCATTATAACTTCTCCATACTTTGTACATTTTATCTTCATGCCTTTTAGGGCAACATATCTAAAACCTAAGATCACCACACAGTAGTATCAAAAAATAACAAGAGTGAAAGTGTATCTCTAGTAAGGGTGCTGTCAAAGTAAAACAGAAAATCAAATTAAGACATCATATATTCAGCTCTATAGTTCTATTATAGTGTTGTCTAACCTTGATAAAATCTTTGATGAGCTGGGCTGCTTTAACCCCGTTCTGTACATTAAAGCTTATATCAACTTTTACTTCAGTGAAGGAATCTGTCAGTTTAATAATAGGTACCTGTAAAAGAAAGACAGATTAAGCCAATGCAGATTTCCAAGACACATTTGGTTTCATTCACACTTAAATGCACTGAAACATTTTATGAATTTGTAGAGAGGAGGTAGACAGAAAAAACAAGACTCCTGTCTATTTATGAACTCACTCCTCTTGCCAATCTGTTTACATAAACTTTGTTTTTCTAACTCATAAATTGTATTTTCAATTTACTATTCTGTTTACAGAACTTAACACTTCATCTCTACAGTGATAATTTTAAATTGTTTTTAGTCAGTTCCTGGTGCAGAAGCATAATTCTAGTGGGAAAAGCAAACACCAGAGGGAGACAAACGCTTAAGAAATAAATAGTAATAGATACTCTTAAGAAAAGACACTCCTGTGTCATTGTGGGTCATTGATTCCTCATCACAATTGTCTTCAAACAAGAACTGCAAGATATTGAGAGCACTCTGACATATCTGCACCCGAATGGTTTTCAGATTACCTTTCTCTACTAATAATAGCCATCAATTGGACACCTGTTTAAACCCCCAACACTCTTACAATTAGCAAAAGGTAGGATGTTATAATGGAATGAATCCTATCCTGTTCAAGACATACCATTACATATTTATACAAGGCTGTACTTAATAATTCTATGTGAAATGTAGTATGTCTGCTTACTTGCAATAAGAAAAAATAATTTATTTATGTACAAACTCAGTCCATAAATTCACAAGTCTAATCATATTAATTAAAAACAATGACCAGTATAACCTCACTTAAAAGCAAGTGTATATTGTACAGTATGGAAAAATCAGATTACTTTCCCCAACAGAAAAAACAATTCTGTTGGCGCACCATCAATTATCTTGCCAGTAATAAAAACTGTATTAAATAAAAAGGTTCTATTGGTTCTATTTCAAATTTATATATAAAATAGTTTCTGTTTATGGAAATCCACCCTTTTAACTAAGATCCTCCTTTGATTAGAAATTTAGCTTACAACAAGGAAATACCCTCTTCCCTCAAACTTACAGTTGCTTTATCTAAAACCTTTACTGAGTTTTCATCTGCTACATTGTGCTTTCTAAGAGCTTCTTCCAGGGTCCAAAGAGGTAATGTCTCCCATTTTCCAAACACAACTAAATCAATATCACTGAAATGGAAAGAAAAAATAGATTTATTCAAATTAAAAGACCAAAACACTTAGCAGATAAAACAACTGACACCCGCACATAACTAGAAGAACGCTGTCAGAATGCAACTTAACCAAATAATTTATTCTTAGTTTTCTGAGGAAATGGGAGGGGATGAACTCTTACACTTGGGGAAACACAGAACATTTCAGGTTACCAAGGGGAGGGCACAGATACACACACAAAAATCAATTGGGCTGCAAAGCTCAAAATCAGTCTCCTCAGGCCACACTGTCAGCAGAGAGGGAGCAGCTTCTCCAGAGTGATTCAGAGCAAGAAATTAACTTGCTGTGAATCACCACTTTTGGGCTGTATTAATCAGTAATGCCAATGTAACAGCCTGTCACTGAAAGAGAAAGTTCTGTTCCCCATCCTCTACTCCCTGTCTCCTCCTTTGCTCTAGGTCTAAGTTTGTCTAATCCACAGCAAACAACTCAACATATTAATGAGCCTGGCAGAAACTCCCCCCCACTCCCTTAAAAAACCCCCAAAACATTCTGGGGGTAATTTCCTGCCTCTTTGCATCTCAAGAGTTGGTTTTCTGAGTGATCAGAGCACCAGTGGGCACATGGTAAGCAGCTGGCTTGTAGTGCCAAGAACAGTGACCAGGGAAGGAGAGAAGAAAATGTGTCAACTTTGACTTCAGGAAGCAACACGCTCTTAAATAAGATCAAACCATCTAATTAACTTCATTCATTAACTCAGCTCCTTGAAGAGGTGTCTCCATCCTGCTACACTTCCTCCTAATGCACATACCCATTCATTTGACTACACTAAGAGCTGACACCCTAGTTCAATGCCTAAACTCAAATTCAAAAGGTGACTAGTGTCCAAACTGAAGCCAGTGAAGGCTACTGTGAGATCCAGAGCTTCTTCCTTTGTGCTCCCCAACAACTTCTTTGATTTCCCCTGCTTTGTTGGGGACACAAAGGAGGCAAGTATATAACCCTATAGTTATACTATCAGGCCACTTCAGTGATATGGAAAACTGTATAACAGAAAATACCAACAAATTTAGGAATACTTCCCCCACGCATCCCCCCAGATTCTACAGGTCTGCTGACTCATGAACAACACTGCTTTAACAATCTCAAAAAAACTACATCTGCATTAGATGAAATATCTCTTGCTGAGAAGCAGTGTTGGCAGCAGGCAAGTTCAGCAGCAGTTCAGCTGCATACCATTCAGCTGACAAGGATAGGCAGCACTCTGCCAGTTTCAGAAAACTATGTTCAGAACTTGCTTGGAGAGCAGGAAATGCTGCTGGACACTTCTCCTCAACTAAGTTAGTGTTAAACCCACTACTGATGCTGGCAGACGTTTTTCTGATGCACACCAAGAGAGAAAAAGCAGTTCTGTTGTCACCTTGAGTATACATATTGCCTGCAAAATAATACAGAGATCCAGCAGCTAAACAACTGTGTGCCCAAACCTTCAGTATCGGCTCAAGTAAATTCTAACACAGACTAACAGAATTAAAACCACACTGTAGGCCGTTCTGAATCCCAGAACCTGAACTCTAAATAAACTATACAGTTACTGACAGGTAGGGAAAACCTAGGACAAAGGGAAGCTTTGACAGAAGGCAACAGTGGATTAATTACCAACATGCAAGTGCTAGTTATTTTGCAAGTTTGACAAGTACTGCCACAGGAAGGGTTTTTTATTGAGTATATATATACTGTATTTGAAGTATCTGCATTTGTTCTCCCCCAAAAAACAGGTGAAATAAATATGGAGGAAAGGCAGTATATGAAATCAAGTAGACAACAGCAAAGCAAAGTTTTACATCAGTTTCAAAACAATCAAGCAAATATACTAAAAAACTATTGCTATCAGTCAAGTGGATAGGAATTGCATTATCATCATCCAACCAAGCTTAATCAAACCTATTTAAAAATCAATGAAAACAAGGCCAAGAACAAGGCCAAATGTGAAAACAATGCATACTCATACACCTTACTTCTGACTTTCCAAAGAGGAACTGAGCAATTCAGCTTTCCTGCAACTCCTTAGACAAAAGCAGATACTAAAGCATCTGACAGAGGCTTTCTTTTCCAAAAAGCGATGGAATGACGAGTCAGGTATCCAATCACTTGCAGTCAGTACTAGATATTAATTCTTTATGTTTCCAAAGTACAGAACTCAATTCAAGTGTTAACCTCAGACTTATGCTATTTAAATGTGTTTATCCCCTGCAGCCATTTAAGCCTTTCATACTATTTCTATTTAATTGTCAAAAATACTTATATTTTCAACACAGAAGATATGACTGTCATTGAATGACTTTTCTTTATGAAAACTAGTACTAAATTTGGAATAGGCAGATGTTGACTATTGTACAGATTTCACCAAAATACAAAAAACCAATTTTGAATGTAATCTTTTCAGTGCTAACATTATCATCAACAAGATAACATTAAATGTTTCAATTTCATAGCCTATGGAAATAAAATGCAGGGGTTTTTTTAAAGGCCACCTTCTTATTTTGGTTCAGTCATTTAATGAAGCCAAATCACAAAATAAGCCCCTTTTGACAACATGGTAATTCAAATCTTATACTGATACATGCAAAATCTATACAGGCACATGTATTATAGTTAATAGTCTTAATTACTATATTTCTGTACACTTTTCAGAGTACTAATAGCTTAACACTTTCTTAATATAACAAGTATATACACAACACAAAAATTCAGAGATCAGACAATTCACTACAGCGGTACAGGTTCTACAGTCTGTCTGTACTGAATATATACTGAAAAATTACTAACCTTGTAGGTAAATATAAACCAGTTTTAAAACTTCCAAATATCTGCACCTGAAACACAAGAACAGGATATATGAAAACAAATTTTAAGGTTTCAGAAGACGAGCAAGTTCTATTGAGTTGCTTGTAAATGCTGGTTGTTGCTACCCTCCATTGGTAGATTTTGGTATTGCAAACAGGCACATCTGAACAGAAGCACTCTTTTCTGTTACAGCATTTACATCTTCAGTGTAGTATAAATGGCTAATCTTCACTGCTATCAACCACAAAACATTAATAACTTTGGTTATTACCCACAAAACATTAATAACTTTGACTTTCATATTACAAAAGCTTCTTTGTAATGTACAAATTTTCACCATGACCAAATGGGGCAAAACCCCCTAAATTAACAGATATTAAAACACTTAATAATGATAAAACGTTAAAAAAAACACCCCAGTACCAGTTCAACTTATTTTTTGCTTTCATATCTCAAATTATACCCTTCAGTTTTTAAACACATTTTCTGAGTTTAATATAGTTCTGTTGCTTTACCTATTTAAAAAAAAAATAAAATAAAATCACAACCCTTTTTTTTCTGAATTACAGAGCAAGTAGCACAACTGTTTATTTCTGCTTACAAAACAAACAAAAAAAGTTTCAGAAAGTTTCACATCCCAAAGATTTAGTTTATTGTGCTGGATTTTTACTAGTACTGGAGGTTTAAATGAGCAGGTTTCTATTGTAAACCGTCCGAAACCATGTTCTCATTAACTGAGCCAAGCCTTGCAGGGAGGTCAGACTCATGTGCTAAGTCTCAAAGGGGGACTGGTGAGACTTCAAAGTAAAAATATCTACACATTCGGACTAATTTTCAACCAGACAGTCTTCTGGTGTGTTTCCTAGAGCCATCTTACAGACTTGCATATTCTGCTTTAATATATTTCACACGCTGGCTTGATTGCCACCTATTTGTATGTCAGTTGACTCACTGTCTATGTTCTTCCCCTTTGGGCTAAGAAAAAGAGGGAAATGGAAAAACATGATGTTTTACAAGTAAATGTCTTGATACTTTAGCAGAGTAAGAAGCAGTATGAGTGCTTCCTCTTGATTATTTTAGATCATGCTTTTTACCCTCTCACCCCCAAGAAAATGCACATACTGGCAGTAAATATAATGTTGAAAGTTCATGGCTTTTCAAGCTAGAAAAGACTGCAAGAAATGACACAGAACTAGCATCGGTTTTGTACTAGATCTTGATGAAAGCATAAAGGCATCACAAAGCTAAGAATGTAATAATAATTACTATTTCTAATCCAGGATAATAATAAAAGGTTTTTATTTTGAGGTTCAGTCAAATCAGGATTTATTTGGCCACCAAAACCATCTGAAAAGTGCTTCTGCACAATAAAACAATCACAGGTTTGGAAAAAATTAAATCTGCTTTCAAACTATCAAACAAAATTGTATGTTCTGAACAGCAAAGAGAGCCTTTACAGAATAAACAATCCTTGAAAGTATTCATAAACTTACAACATATATGACCTTTACCAAAAGGAATGAGACAACATCTGCTGTTGTATAATAACTTGGAGTGTAAGAAACCCACACCCACACTTCAATACCTCTCTCATCAAATCTGAAAAGACGGAAGAGGAAGAGTGGGGAAATTGGAACAGAAATTTTAAAGGATTTTAATTTATTGCTGAATCAGTATTCAAACTGCTGAAGCTCTGGTAGCCATGTCTATATTAGGCATGTTTTAAATATATGACACCATTATGACTTGAGAGGTGTGGGCATTAGTTTTTGTGGTGTGCCAACACTGCTATTTATGGTTTTATTCTATATGGACAGAGATTTGTATTCATAAGATAACTTAAGACTTCACAGTATTATAATGGACTCCTACTCCTGGATGTTATTGTTACTATTTATCCTACATTTCTGTGGACTTGTTCATATTAAATTTCAAAGTTCCTGAAGGAGCTTTAATTACAGTGTCCAAATACATCCTCACGATACACAACAGAACTTGGAAATCCACAAAAGCTTGTAAAGGCCTTGCTACCAAAATCCCTCCATCAAAACAAACAAAAAAAAAAATCTATCCATAGCCTATTTAAATTTCCCTTTATTCTACAACATTAGGCAGAATTTTCTGAAGTTTGTCAAACTAAATAGAGTTCATCTTTCTACTTCCCTTCCCAATCACAGTATTTCCGTAACTGAAGCGTGTGAAGTATGCAACATTACTTCTTTTCAGATCTATGAGGCCACGTAATACTCAGACACGAAGCTGAGGACATTATGACAAATGTATCCTAAATTCCACTGTATAAGTACTTACTTTTTCAACTGTCAAATTTCCATACTCAACTGGTCAAAAAAACTTTGCTTTCATTTAATGTTTTGGGTTGTTCAGTTTCAGTGTAATTAAAGCCTTTCTTATGGTCAGAGCCTTGTTGATGCCAAGAACAGTTCTCACTTACTAGGAATGTTTCCTTCTAAGCACATTTCCTTGAGTAAGAGAGCAAATGACACAATTGCTTCCTTCTATAAATAAAGTAACAGTTTAGGATACCTAGTTTTATCCCCCTCCATCTGCTTTTTCAGGCTTTTCCCAAGTGGAACAGGAGGGGAAAAAAAAAAGAAAAGAAAAAAAAAGATGTGCACAGACACATTCCATGCAGTTTCTATACATTTAGATTCATGAAGGCTGATCTTCCTTTTCTTGGTATCTGATTTTTATAGGGTATGTCTTACCTACGTGTTTAGTGAGAAACTACAAACTAAATGTGTATGTTTAACTTACAAGTTTATTTTAGCTGGATTTGCTGCATCTATGACTCAAAATGAACAGCTTAAACATTAACTTATTGCTTTACACTACAGCTAAAGCTGAGGACATTGGACCAGATAACACTCCACCTTCTCAGAGCATGTACTCAAAACTTAAATCTTACAAGTAGCTAAACCAACACAGATTTCCAAAACGTTAGTGATTAACTCAAATGACTGGAAAAATTACAAAAAAAAGACTGTCCAAGTTGAACGCAGTTGAGTTCAGCAGCTCAGTTCCTAAGCAGATCTGTAAAGTATGAGAAAAATAACATTACAACAAATTTCCAGATTATAACCTGGTGGTGTGCTATTGTCACCATTCAGTTCCCTTCTAGCCTTCAGGAAACAGAAGGGCATACAAGAGGAGAATTGTTCCTTGACATAACAACAGCAGACAAAATGCAGAGTTAGGCTTTGAAGAGCAGTTACTGACTTAAGGAAAAGAAACTGGCATGCTCTTGCTCTCTACCATTTTCAAGAACAGTGAAGACAGTCAGTCATGGCAGTTTTAACTGGCACTAATTGGAAAGTGAACTTTAGTTTTCAACTACATGGTGTGTGCATTCCCTCAGTCACGTTACAGCTAAGCCCAGTGGTCAGCTGTCACTTGTGGTAGGGCTTCTAATCTAGTTCACGTTCTTAAACAGATTATGGCTACAAAAACCAGTTTCAGTAGCTTAAAGACTTATTTTCTCAAGGCCTCAAAGTCATGTATGCATTAATAAAAATTATTTTTAATACGAAATACCTAGCTTTTACAGATCAAGTCTGCCCTGCAAACAGTTATCTCTGGAAGCACTAATTTCTTGTGCCCCAGTCAAAGCGTTAGCGGTAACAAAGAAAGATCCCCTGGTAATAAATCCATTCATCCCATTACACTGGTTATTGTCTGCAGCACACAAACTTGTCCAGGAAATAGTGGCATCTTCTGTAGGCTGAAGCAATCGGTTATTTTGGTGAAATCCCCTCCTACAAAACTTTGGCAGGGTCTATTGCAGTAAGCACTGTTTCATACCCGCACTGTTTCCTATGCTATTAGCCTGTCAGACTGGCAGCCCATTGCTCCTGCTCTTGACGAGGGTCTACAACACTGTTTCAGTGGGTTAGAGAAGAGCTATACTATACACCACCTGTGAGATACGCTAAAATATCTTACATAGCTCCCCTGGATTGGTTTTGCTCAAAGACAAAATTACCAGACACATGTAATATTGACTCTATGAACTTCCTGTAACTGTGCAAAGGCAAATTCCTGAGTGAAGCGTGCTCCTTCCATATTATACATCCCTAATATGTTGTCCATAGCAACATGAACCACCTTGAAAATGAGAGTGTATTTATTTACACACAAACCCACACACCACATACATATAGCCTATACAGAATTTCTATTTTGTCATATTCTGCTGATTTCTAGAAACACATTCCATAAAACAGGTTAAGAAGATCTAAAATGAACAGTGGGTTTAAGTCACTCATGTCAAAACACTATCTTTTACCATGGCAGGATCAAAGAACATTCCTTATACTAAAGATTCTGCTGTCTTGAGTTTGGTTTGCTATTCTGGCTAACAAGTCCTTATCTGCATTCTGAAAATGTAGATGGATACAATTAAACTAGATTCATTTATGCTGAAAATCCAACTGTGTCCCCATAAAACCATTCTGAGTTCTAAAAGCACTTCTCTGGCTTCTCTTCAGTTCAAACTTCATCAAAAAAAAAAAGTGCATAGCTCTGCATAGGAGAAACTCTTGTTTCGACTGAATGAAATACTAGCAAAAACCCATCTTCAGTGGAAAGAGGCATTACAGATTTAATCTCTGCACAGATCTACAAAGCTGTTTGTTCCTGTACAAAAAACGGGTTCCTTTAAATTTTTAAGATATGTCAATTTGGTTTAACTGACCATTAAAAATAATATGTTCTACATAAGATGGCATTGCTGGCACTCCACCTTAATAGATTTATTCAAGACCATGGGTCTTTGGGCTACAAGCTGTGCTACTAGTGAAGCTATGAGTTTCAGAAGATTGGGGTTTTTTGAACACAATACTTTACACAAGCATGCAAGCATGCCTGATATGTTCCCATTATCTTAGTAAATACATGTTAGCGAGACTAAATATTGCCACACCTTATGCCCTTTCTTTGACTATAGTAAGTCTAGCTTGTCTTTTTTCGTACATGTGACAGAAAACTCTACCTGTATTATTCTAGAAATAAGTATCACCTCCCTCATTTGACCAGAAATCATTTGGGTTTTTTTTTTAATATGGAAAAATAAACAGTATTTTCATTATCCAATACTTCACAAGGTAAACAGGCACAAGATGTTGCTTTTATATATTAACGAATAGAACAGTGTCCTACTCACATCTGCATTAGGCCAGAGTTCTTTTATAACGTTTTCTATCCTGTTCACCACTTCCATCCGCATTCTCTCTTCTTCAGGTCTGGGAGACATATACTTATAAAAGTCAATGATTTCTTCATGAAGACTAAGAAAGAAAGAAAGAAAAAAAACAACCAGAAAGTCAGGAAAAAACCCACAGGAGAATGAAATAGCAACTACTCTAATCAAACATGCTTTTTAAGTCCTAGTTATCTATTTAGTTAAGGGGCAGTTTAAGGGTAGAATGCAATTTAAAAAAAAAAAAAAAAAAAAGCAGATTCACAACACTTATGTTTATTTTCATGTTAGTTTCTTATGCCATAGGTCAATATTGCACTGCATTTGCTAGAAGTGTGGAAGCAAATCTAAATCCAAGCACCTTTAATTCATACTGAAAGTCACACTCTGTATTTTAATGCCAGCCTAACACAGAAATGGTTCAGTCTTCAACTACAAACGCAGCTGTGAGCTCCGAGTACACACTTTGCAAAAATTTAAACAGGTTTTCAGCCAACGCTTCCTAGTCAGCCCCTTGGCACCAGCTAGAGAGTTTCAGGCATCAGGCTGTATTCAGTACCAAGCTTTTACAAAGTTGATAGTAATTGTGTCAGTACTAGAGCTAGAATAACGGCTTCTTTTACTGCTCAGAGAAGACACATAAACTAAATATGCACTCTCTCCCTATAACAAGAAAATAAGTAGTGCACACACTGCAGCAGTGGCTCAGAGGAATAAGTGATTGACAGAGAGTTAATCATATTACTTGTGCTTCTCAGAGTCAGTAAGTTATGTTTAGATTGCCTATGATTAGAGCTGAAATTAAAATGTACATACAGTGCCACAAATTTCTATGCTTCTGTAATATCATAAACATATTGTCTTGACTAACAACATATTTAAAAAAAAAAACAAAAACAACAACTCCAATTCCAGCCACAGAATAGCTAAATTATTTTCATTTGTCTGCTGCAATGACCATTATAGTAATAGCTAGTTATTTTTTTAAAAAGTATTGTTTCTAGTTACCAAGTACAACTGCATCTCTCCTTAAAGCTCTGAGGGACCATCAGAAGAGAGCAAATTTATTAAGACCAAGCCCTTATATGAGATGTGGAATCTAATACTTCCCCACTGCACAGACACTTAAATAAATCAAATGTTAATAACTGGAAGTTGTATACAGGTGTCAACAAAACACATTAAAATATCTGAAAGTTGTATTTAACAGAGTCAAGGTAATAACAGAACTCAAACCATATATATAATGTTCTTCAATACTGCAGCATTATGAACAACACAAGCTTCTTTCTCTCAGAGACAGGGGAATAAAATAATTACTTTTCATTGAGCATTTATTGGAATTTCCTCCCCCCAGATGGTTAGGGAAATAGTCATAAAAGCCTAGCAACTTGTGGCCATCACCATGGCTCTCTATAGCTAATGCAAAGAGAAAAACTCCTCTGACAGAGTTCCTCCAAAGGGAGATCCAGACACCCAATTTAGCTGTTCTAAATCAACCTTTGGAGAAGCTTCTCCTCCTTTGACACCTACAGTGGGAGCCTTCAAACACTTAAACTAAAAACTAAAATAAAACAAACCCCCTCAAAATATCTCCTGCAAAAATGTAAGATGCCATCTCCCTCCTCTCTCTGCCTTACTGCCACACTGTTCACACACAACATCTTGGGTACCACAAGGATGTTCTGAACAACGCAGCTGCAGCATTCATACTGACAAATTCTGTTTTCAGCATTTATTTTGACACTGCTAGGAAATTTCCTACCTCCTCCTGTGGCTGCTCTCTTGCTTTTCCTTGGAAGCTTACAACCTGGGGTTAATGTCCACATTCCAAACCATCACTGCCATCCCTTCCATGGGCACTGATTCCTCTGCCTTTGGCTTTTCAGCCATCTCCTGTTTTTCTATTCTTCACTACTATTCAATCTGTTGACACTTCATTGAGCCATTCCCCCACAGCAATAATTGAATTCAGGTGAGAAGTACATGATAAAGGACAAGTTGAGCACTTCAACAACCAAGTTCACTCTCCATCCCCACTGCCAGACACCATACCAAATTGTTAATTCAGTTTCCACGTGCTTGACCATTAAGGTAGCATTCAAAACCAGAAGCAACAAGGAAAACAGGCAAAAACAATCAAACTGTAGAAAACACAAATTAATTTTTCAACTGTAATTTGGTGAATCAGCTTACAGGAAGACCTGGGAATCAGCCCAAGGCATCCTATCATGTCTGGCAAACCCTTTTCTTTCTTTGTGTGCTACACTGTGGGGAACTGATCAAAAAATACAGCCCTGTTTCTGCCTCTGCTCCTCTCCACCGGCTGGAACAGACTGGCGACACCCACAAGGCACAGGATTTGCCAGAGAGCAATGTTTTTGGTAACATAGGATTGACAGCATGCATGCACTGCATGCCACCAGGAGTAGCATCACGTTGTCTGAGGGCACTTATTGGCACAAAACCTGCTGGGGTAATACCAAGGAACTATCCCTGGGAAGAAATTCATGCATGGCACAGCACAAATCCATACTGCCCACCATTAGTGGGCCCAGCTGCTCCTGGGCTTCCACTTTATGGGAGTTAATTGTTGCCCTGCTCCAGAAGGGAACTTTGAAAGAACAAGGCAATGAGAAATGAGGTCTCCAAAGTGCACAAAGCCATACAGACACTGCAGCTCTCAGGGCACTTCTCTTTATTAACTCCACTGACACTCTTAATCAAGATAATTATATCAGTTGGGACATTCTTCAGAAGCACATAAAATAATGATGTGTTGTCAGAACTAGATTAATTTCTTTTTCCAAACATAGGTAACATGTCTGCATCTCTTTAAATGGGAGCCATGTAAATATATTATATGTATTTAAATGGGAGCCATGTAAATATGTATGTATTCTTAGCCATGTAAATAAAGCTTTATGGAAAAACAAAAAATTAAGCAGCATGCAAACACACAGAAACTTACATTACACATGCACTGAATGGTACTAAACAATGCAGATGCGGAAGAAAAGAAATTTGAACTTTTTCAGTGACAGAAGAAAGGCTTAAAGACTACCAGAGACAGTCCCCACTGGTACACCAGTTGGAAATACTACAGACATATCTGTGTTTCATCTGCTGCAAGACTCCATGCTGCTAGGGACTGCTGTGCTGCAGAGCCACAGCATGCAGAAGGCAGGCAGAAGTCGTAAACGCTCAAGACTACACCTGGAACCATATTTTCCTGCCCAATAATGGCTGCTGCCAAGAAATAAGGGAATGATTAATCAAAGCCAAGACAAACAGAAGTAGCCACATGCAGATTTTGGAGCAGTGCAACATGACTTAGAGGCGTGACTCCAATTAACATGGAGTTAACTCAAGCTATATTGAAAATTAAAACTCAAGGTTATTCACTGTCTTAACATCTATTATAGTTGCTGTTTTTAAAAACAATTTGTTTGGATTAATGGAGTCTGTTTACAAGAGTCTCTTGTGGAATTTTATATCTTTAGCTGAAATGAAGATCAAAGAGACCAAGAAGTTATTTTTGGCATCATGACAGTATTTTATTATTTAACGCCATTACATTCATTAGTTATTTTAGATGAAAGTCCTTAAAAGGAGACTTGCCTTTAGAAGGAAATTACACTGTAATAAACCTGATTTCACTATGGAGAGATATTTCATTTGGTTTTATAGTCATATTGAAGCATACTCAAGACCTACTTAGGATGCATGGAGAGAGTTCTCTGCAATGGATAAGAGCACTGAGTTTACTGTTTATTACAGTAAATGGCAGTAAACAAGTGGGTCTTTGTCCTGTACTTCAGGAAATTTTAACACTTGGAAAAAAGTAGTTTCTTACACTTCATCTGTGTTTTAAAACAAAGTACTAGCTGCATCACACCCTGTTTTCAGGCTTGGTGAGTTGATTCCATCAGAAAATCGCAGACAGAACAGAATTATAGAAAAAAAGAAGCCACTAAATTTAGTGGATTATAGTGTCTGTTACATTTACTTGACAGATAGAGTGATATGTCATTAAAAAATACACTATGGCAGCAAAAGCTGTAATCACAAGAAGGCCCTCCAACTGTAACATCACTGAACAGCACCATGAGGAACGCAAGTCTGCTAGACTCAAGCTGTTCAGGTAAAAAGCTACAGCTTTTGTGCAGATGAAAGTACTATGGAATACAGTGCATTGTATTTCTTTCTTAGTTGGATCACACCTTGCTCTATTTTTTAGCACAACTTGTGGGGTCTAACTGCAACTCTGAATTCTCAAACTAGTTTACATACATGCAAGATATTGTTATTTGGAAGTATGAAACTTACTGCGCCTCTGTCAATCAATTAAAAAATAGTAACATAGGATCAAAATGTTATTTCTGTTTTATATGCACAGTACACAGACAGCATATATACTTGACTGGACACTTCAGTTACCTGACACATAAATCAGCACAACTCGCTATTGCTTTAAGTCCAGAACTAGAATCAAAAGTGATACTGGGATGCATGTCACTTCATGAAACGTAACTGCAGACAACATCTGCAACACGAACAGTGGGATTGAGGCACCTTCAGCAAGTTTGCTGACGACACACCAAGCTGTGTGATGCACATGCTGGAGGGAAGGGATGTGCCATCCAGAGGGACCTGGACAGGCTGAGGAGGTGGGACCATGCAAACCTCAGGGGGTTCAACAAAGCCAAGTACAAGGTCCTGAACGTGGGTCGGGGCAATCCCCAGCACAAATACAGGCTGGGTGAGGTGTGGATTGAGAACAGCCCCAAGGAGAAGGGCTTGGGGGTATGAGTGGGTGGAAAACTGACTGTGAACCAGCAATGTGCGCTCACAGCCCAGAAAGCCAACCGTGTCCTGGGCTGCAGCAAGAGCAGTGCAATCAGCTGGTCGAGGGAGGGGATTCTCCCCCTCTACTGCACTCTCCTGAGCCCTCACCTGCAGTGCTGTGTCCAGTTCTGGGGACACAACATAAGAAGGACACGGACCTGTTGGAGTGGGTCCAGAGGAGGCCACGAAGACGATCAGGGGCTGGAGCACCCCTCTGTGAGGACAGGCTGAGAGA